TAAGAGGGTGATTTCCTGGCGGCAAGATGCAAACTGGGCATATTGGTGGCGATCACACCGGGCAAGGACAGCAAAGGTCCTCGAGCCAAGAGAAACAAGCCGAAATACCACACATCGGGCCGGAAGCGGAAGACCAAGAAGCGAATGGATGCCAGCCTTCGAACGATGTCACACATCGAGGTGTAGTCAGGGGGGTGGAGTGTTCTTCCGTTTCAAGTATCGGATTTTGGTGTTTGGTCTGTTTTGCAGTTGCCTTGTCTGCTCTACCATCTGTGCCAAGAGCTTCGCTCAACTATCTGGCCAGCACAGCCTCTTCCTAATACAGTTTGTCAACTTCTTTAACAACTTCAGTTTATTGATGTTTCTTCCTATGGTCAGCTTCCTGCCAAATTGCTGAGTAACATGTGTTTTCTGACATTTAGTATCAACCAATGGTCAGCGCTTGATGGGTGAACGCCCAAACCGCAACGACGGCCTGGCTTTCCCTGACCACTTGGGCGCTTGATAGGCCGCATAGCAAGCTGCTGTGAAGAAGCTGCCGGCCAACAAGATCACCAAGGCTCCAAAGACTTTCATGATCACCTGACTTGCTAGCACGTGGACTTGCCCCAAAAAAGAAATCCCCTCCAAGCAGTTGCATGGAATGTGGGTGACTCTCTGCTTTTGAGTCCCCAGAATGCACACCAGCTGAACCCACTTGCTGAAACTCACCAGGACTAAACCCAATTAAGAGACAATGACCAACGATACTGTATGCTCTAGGGGGGGTTCCTGTACCTTTCACTCAGTGATTGAAACGAGCCAACAAAAACAGCCCTGAGGGTCGTTTCAAAAACTTGCTGTTTCTGATCAAAGAGCATGCTCATCTGTCCCGCAGAATACATTGGGATACTTCAAGATACTTTCTTGACCAGTAGGGTGTCGGTAGCACATAAAAGGCATGACGCCAACATTGCACATGGTCGTGAAGCCAACCTGCAAGAACTGTCCCAGCGTGCTGATTGTCTTGTTCTTCTCCCATGCTAGCTGGCGGCTCCTCAGAATGGGAATGAAGTTCGTGAGCAAACCAACAGTGGGCAACGCGAGAGTCACAATCCAAAAGAAAGATGCGGTGCTCACATATCGGCCCACATTACCACCGGCAGCACAGCTAAGGCCAAGAGCATCAAGGTTGAAGGTAAAGAGTGAGGCAAAATTCAGGATCGCTTCCAAGCCATCTGGCCACTGCACAGCAACGGTGTTCAAAACGCCGAGATTTTGGAACAGGGCCACTAGCATTCCCAAGGCTGCAGTGGTGGACATCATCACACTGGCTTTTGCCGTATAGCTCGAGGTTAGCATATAGTAGGAGCCAAAAAATGCAAACAAGTGCCAAAGTCACTGACAAGGCCCATGCTGTTGACACCGCTCCACAAGGTTCGCATTGGTTGGAAGCCCAATAATATCCATCAGCGCAGTCGCCACAAGTCAAGCCTTTGCGGTCTCCAAAGCAAACACCTGGGGAGCCACCGGGGCAAAAGAGCTCCGCAGTGCATCTGTAGGTGTCAAGAGGCTCTTCTGGATTGCCTTGGATGCCACAAAACAACTGCACAACAACAAGGACAATCTCATTCTATACGAGAACGTGATAGAACCTAAAACAGGCTGAAGCAAATGCAGCTTGCTGAAGAAACCTTTCTTCACAAAAGGAATCTTCAAGTCTGTAGTTCCGTCTGCTGCCTCAAGCTTCTCAATAGTGCTACCTCTCGGGCAATGCATGCTTTGCTCATCACACTCCATGCATGTGGAAAGTTTCTCGATTTTCCCTTCTTGGCAAACGCAATCTGCCAGAGATGATGCACCCAACAAGAGTGTTGTTCGGGAAGCACCGCACGGGATGCAAGAGGTCTGAGCCGCATCTGGTTGATAGTCTCCCTCGTTGCACGGAGTGCATCTTGTGCTTCCATACATGCTGGCTGAGGTGCCCTTGGGACATGGCTCACATTGGGTGGAGTAAGTATTTGGTTGGCTGTAGCCAGGAGGGCAAGGCTTGCATTGAAAGGTCCTTCCCACATCATCAATGAGCTCCTCCGATGCGGTTCCAGCCTGACAAAGTCCACATCCAACTGCGGTTGTCCTGTTGGAGACAAAGCTCCCGGAAGCATCAACCAACCCAAAGCCTTCGTAGCAGCTGGTCTCCACTGGTTTCCATGCTGACCACCTCAGCTAAAAGCAAGGCACAACAAAAGTGGGTCACAACATAGATCTTAAAGAAAACATGTGGCTTGTCACAGATTCAGGGGGTCTTCTGTAAGGTTTCCCGTGTTTCAACACCAGAACAAGACAACAGTGATGACCAATTTGCTCAAAAACCTAGTCACCCTTGCCATCCAAAAATATCAAACCTGGTGGAACGTGTCGACCAGTTCTTGAACTACTTTTTTGATAGACCGTCGCCTGGCTCGATTGTCGCGCATCCACTTGCAGGAAACATTGTAGCTTGAACCTGACCGCTGAACATCCAAGAGAAGGCTTTGCACTTCCGGTAGCTCGAAATTGATGTTGGACACGAACCTGGGAAAAGTCTTTGGTCTGTACAAGCGTCGTTGGTTCTCCAAGACAGCAAAATTGACAGTGTCAATGCCAAGAAAGCTTTGGACAAAGGAGGTTACCAAGAATCATGATCTGCAAATGTTTCCAGCCGACAAACAAGTATTATAGGATGACACAAAGGCAACCACAAGCAAATGAACACACAGACACAGGCACACACCACAAACAACTCTGTCAAACGGTGAACAAACACTTGAACAGCCTACTAAATGGGACGAAGGAACTCGCGGACACGGCCAGCCTTCGATTGCAAGTTGTTGCTAACCATCTTAGACACGTAGCTTCCTTGGCCTCCCGTTTTCTTGTCTCCCGCGAGCCACTCATTGGCACTGTGACGAGCAAACTGCAGCTGCTCGGGCAACATGTCGATGAAGGTCGCATCTGGAACCCACCAATAATGGAGAGCCCGATGACTTTGAACGTGTTTCACAAACATGGACCATCCTCCGGAGATTGCGATGGCGGCTGGAATTCCATATGCAGTTGACCACTGCATCATCGCCTGCAACTTCCAACCATCCCCTCCTGTGAAAACAGGGATGCATGTGGAGGCATTCTGGCGGCATGCAGGTGCGTACCACTAACGATTGTTTGAACACTTGGCGATGAATGAACCGTCTGCTTGGCTCAGAACCCCATCGTAGTCGCCAGAAAAGCGAGCATAGTTTCCCATTCGATTCGGATGGCTCATGACCGTCTCGTTGCACAATGCCAATTCTGACATGTCCACATCGTGAATTGAGTCGAAGTATTTCCTGACTTGGCAGGGCTTATGCAGGTGGTCAAAATCATAAAAAGGCCTAGTACCCACAAAAGTATTCAGCTCATCCTTTCAGCAGCCCAGTCTCTTTGGGTCGTGATGCGTAGTGTTGTAGCCTCCGTTCAAGCGTCGGTCAAACTCAAACCACAAGGCAACCACCATTATCCACTGCTATCCACTGTTTGAAAAAACCTACTAATGGCATCATTCCAGGTAGTACTCGCAACATCAAGTGATTTCAGATCCTCTGACTCAATGTGAGCCTGGCGCTGCAACAGCTCACCCCGCAAAACAAATATGTATATATATATATTTATAATAGTACTCTTGGAAATCCAAGGAGGTTTGCAACCCTGCTTTTTTAGTTCATGAGTTCCTTCCTCATGAAAATCGGCCATGTGTGCAAGGACAATCCCCGTGCATTGGAATTTGCTTGGGGATGGATGCTCATATCTACCTATACAACCACATCTTTTGAGGCTTGCATCATAAGTCGGATGGTCAACCATGGCTATTCTTGCAGCTTAAAGCCTGTTGCCTGTCACTCAATGTCAAACGGTCAAGTTTAAAAGACACGTCTTTCCAACTCTTTGGCAAAGTAGCTTTTGTAGAAGTCCAAGGCAAGACCGGAGTCACTGTAGGCAGCATGGAGAATTTCATGGCTCACGTACATGGACTCTTCGCCCGAATATCCCATACTCCCCAAATCCTCGGCTGCAAGCCTTGGGTATTCCTTCGCAAACTTCTGCTGAGCTGCAGCGTGGGTTCCAGACCAGGAGTCCACACTGACATGGATCTTCGTTTCTGAGCCACAATTCTTTTCCTTGGCATTGTCGAAGTCGACGCATCCGGCCAATGCATAGATGGGAGAGGCTCCACTGGCGCCCACGCGGGGATCGATTACTGCATGAAAACCGAGAACCTCTTGAATCATCATCAGTGCCATGTTGTTGAGAAACGTGGAAGATGCCCAGCCGCATTCAATCACTCCAATTGGAATGTCGTTGCCCGAATCATCCTAAGCCATCGCAGAGTTTGGCACATTGGTCGATCTCAATTTTGCATACAACAATGCTGTGCTGATATCTGCTACAAGGGTTTCTTTCGCAGGTTCTCGTTAACACAACACCATGCATGCTTTGCATCCTGCCTGAATGTACTTTCGCTGGCTTTCTGGCACACCATCGTCGAGGCAAAGCTCAGCGCCCGCTTGGCCCACAGTTAGCCCAAGAAGCACCACTGCCAAGCGCAGCAGCACTCGAAACATGGCTTCGAAGTGGACAGCAGAATCCAAATTGGGGGATCCGGATCTGTGCTGAGAGCCACAAAAAGCTTCCAGCACAAAAAAGTCACCAGGGTGTCCAAGAGCTTCTTGATCTCTCAAGCAAACAGCAACTCTTCATACCATTGGTTGGGAGTTCGCTCCTTTGATGATGACTTTCTTTCAGCTTCCACGGCCGTGGAAATGTGTCAACGGCTGGGATTCAACTTTGATAACAATAAATGTTTGCTGTGTCACCTTTGCAAGCTTATTTCATCGCAGCTCCGCAGAGTTTGCTCTGCGCAGCTATGAGCAAGCCGCTGGCGACACGGCAGCAAGGCCAAAAGCACTGGGACCGATTCACCCAGAGGGAATAGGTCCTGAGAAGCTCCGAATTGGACCAAAGATTGGCCAACAGCTAGTAATCATTTAACCTCGTATGCCATAAGATGCCACAAGTACTGGATGTCGCTGTCACCCTTGACATCTGTCATCAAGATCAGTAGGCAAACTGACTGAGCTTCTGAACAAAGCGTTTTGAAACACGAGACACCACGTCTTTTGGCAGCTGTGAGCATTCACGTTGCAGAAGGTGCATCCATGTATCCTGCTTGGCTTTTAGCCAGGCAACAAGGTCCCGGAAGGTGGGCGAGGACAACCCCAGCCTCCTACCTTTGAGTCCATCTCCAAATGATCCCACCCTAACTCTCAAGCAAAGCACCCAGGACCAAGCGGAGACATGAAGCGGAAAAGAGGCTCACTGCATCCAGCTCAGGTTGCGTTCATTTGGCATCATTAACTGATGGCTGCAAACAAATAAGATCTAGGAGCGTGCATATGTTTGGACAACTTTCTACTTACCATTAGCTTGAACAATGTGAACATTCCAAGCTCACAAGACAAGTTGAAGTTCAAAACCATACTTTGCTTGACAGCTCGAACTCAACCCTTAGATTCTTTACAGCTGGACACATTTTGCAGCTGAGGATCCATTACCAAGAAGCACACTTGGCCTGCTTTGCAGCCGAGTGGCTTCAGTCAATGCGCCAAGGTCCAAGACAAGCAAACCGCTCTGCCCATCATGCCCATCCATACAATCTCCAACAGAGTAGAAGCTTATTTTTCACCTCAATTCTTGACCTACATACCAGGACCCAGGCGCCGCATATACACATAAATCTAGTCAAACCAAAAGAACATCTCACAAAGCTTGAGAGATCAGCCCTTCTAGTACTTCTCCCGAGTACGAATCTCTTCGACCTCTATACAACAAACTCCAACTCTTTCGGTCATCCTGGTTTGACCAGACAAGAGAGAGGCTCACACAATCCTGGTTCGATTGACCTCCTCCCCCCTCCTGGGTGTCTGCACGACTGCCTGAGCTGGTGTTATAGTCA